GGTGCGTTCCTCGCTTGGCGAATTACTTATGCCTTGCGCCGATCTAGTCGATACCGTTTATCTGGGTGCGGATTTGCGCGTATCCAGCCCTATACGGTGCACAAAGCGTCATCAGTTCGATGATCGAGTGAGTTTAATCTCTGCCAGTATACCCGTGGTATTCACCCGAGGCTTTATTCGTTAAGCCAGCTAGATTCACGTGAACAGACCGCATTTTGTTTTGGTGTTGTTCAATTGTACAATCAGGCAAAAGCATGAAAGTAACAAGTTTGAATGTCAATGTAAGTCATCTTTTCTTGGTCTCAGTTACCGATTAGGCAGTGGTTCCCCACATTTTCACATTCGAATAGCCGACTGTGGTAATTTTCCACACTTGGCTACGCTTCGTTGTGATATCGGCCTTACAACTGAGGCAATAGCAACACAAGTCCTGTTCGGATTTATCCGGAAATATTCGTTCGAACCCTAGTCTCATTAACTGGTTAGAATTATTAATAAGAATATTGTTATTATTGGCAATAAGAATAATAATGTTATCATCATCTACTAAGAATGGACTTACGACCCACATCTTTCTGGTTGTGGCGGTGGTCACCGGCTCGCCTGAGGACACCTTGGACGTTTGACTCCGTCCAATGTGCGTATGATCTGATGAACTGAACTCAGTTCCCCCCAATGGATTTTGGTTTTCACCCACCGCCCGCTACCTTGCGGGTTAGACTTTGGTTGGCTGAAGGTTCCGGCTCTGACTTCCCCAAAGACATTCGCATGCCTAGACCTGGGCAACCTGACAGTAATTAGTCCATAAGCGAATCAAGGAACTTTACCATTTTTATGAAGATTAATGTATTGTGATTTGTTTTGTATTAAATATTTATATCCCCTTGTGCACATCATCCCCCGTTAGGTACTAACTTAAATCCCCCGATGACATTATGTTCTCATCAAATGCGTCAAATAGTGGAAAGTGGAAAGTCCAATGTCATCTCTGCCTTGACCAGCTAACGCTTGATATTTTTTTGCTCATTATTTTCTATCTAGAGCGAGAAAATTCACAGTGTTGTTCAGTTTGAACTGATAACATTTGTGTTGCTCGTTCAATTTGCGCGGGATTGGCAAGTGTTCGATTCCACTGCTCCATATGTTCTGTGTTAAGACCAGAACAGCATGGACGGGATGAATAATCTATGCACGCAATGTAATGGCTTTTTCTTATCCTCTTCACTCCTCCCCCCTCTCGGTTCGTTTCATCTCCCCGTGGTTCACAGTTTATCAAGCACTTCAAAGAATCTCATTCATGCATATACGTGACCCATCCGATGCTATCTAGTCTTCAAGTGGACACTTCTCCGACTGACGGTTCAGTTACAACTCGTCCAATGCATTCTTGTCTGCCCTCGTCTCGCTGTCCGGTGCCGTCGGTCGCAGCGCCAGCCGAGGATGCCTGTTTGCCTTTGGTTGAACTACCTGTACCTGGTGTCCCTCCATCTCCGCTCATGGGTTTGAAACGTCGTTTGAAGCGCGCTTTCTGTCAGCCTGGCAATGCAGAGGTAAATCCTGTCCTGGAACTGTACCGATACGTGATTCTTCCCGATTTGAAAGTTGGCGGTAAGTTCGGGAATCAACCTGCCTTTGAATTTTTACCTATCATTTATTACCATTATTATTATTATTATTATTATTATTATTATTATTATTATTATTATTATTATTATTTAGTCCCACAGCCACAAGATTATGTGCTTTGTTTACCGTAATCAGTGTCCTAAGTACTGCGCACTGAGAATAGCAGAATACATACAACCCCGGTAAGATAGACGCACTACAAAACCGGAGGACAACTAAGCTGTCTGTTTACGAAACGTGTAGCCCCTAACCTCGACCGGACTTATGGTCGATTTCACATCCTCCACTATAATCTGTTCATGATCGTCAGTGCTGACGGTATATATTTTATGATATCAGTTTTCGTTTCTCTTTTACTCATTGCTCAGACCTTGACGATGTTAAATTATAATAGTGAGCCTACTTTCACTTATTCTGACACATGATCAATTGACAGGTAAGAGACATTGGTCAGCCACAGGCTTTGTAAACACAAGAAAGTGAAATGCAAAAGGGGATTCGAACGTACGGATTGCTGGGTGATGGGTTTACAACCGAGTATTGCTTTGGAGTTGATCAGGGGATTGTGAGAAACAATAATTCGCGGTTGTTGTTGTTCCTCGTCGTCAGTCAAATTAGTTATACGTCGATTTCTGATGGGACTTTGTCACAGTTTTGTAACCACAGACGAACAGTTATATAGGTCCTCAACGTAAGTGTTTTACGTCTTATTCCCATCCCTAGATCTATTGGTATGGCTTTTAGGGATTCACTTCGTAGTAAAAAAATTCCGCTGCCTCAAATTTGAGCTAGCTCGGGGTCTTTACAACTGGATGTCTCATGGGGTTAGGTTTCTCTGCCTGGATCACGCAGTAGCATCTGTCTGTTTGGTCAATCACTCTTTCTTATGCTCCACGTTTCTTTCTAAACTAACGCAGCTCCCCTCGTGATTCACCGATCGGAGAAGAATGGTGGACCTTTGCTTATCGATCCACCCGAGGCTCTCTCAGATCCGTCTGCCCGTTGGCGATCATTGGAAGCTGCATTCGTCCAAGAGATGCTCCATCCGGGTGACTTGAAACCGGCCGTCGAACAAGCATTGTCGAGCCTCGAAAAGAATGATAACAGCCTAACAGCACGGCTCATAAAAGCACTCCCATCGTGGTCCGAACTGACACAGCTGTTGGTTACCGCGTTCCCCAAACCGCAAACCGGAGGTAAAACAAAAAACAAGACGAAAAAACCGGCCGGATCGGCGGGTGAGGTTGCTTCCGGTGATCGAGTTGCTCCAGCCAAAGGTGTGTCTGCACGTGGTTTCTCTTGCTCGAATGTTTCTGTGTACCTGTACGTGCACATGTGTATCTGTTTACTTATTTGCAATTTGTTTTCAGCCTCTTCCGCTACGGATGCCGTGAACGAGGAATTGGACCCGAATCGACTGGAAATTCGTGTGGGTCGTATTCTATCGGCGAAGAAAGTAAGTTTCCTGTTTGTACACCTTTTTGATTTCTGCTCGAATAGAAATCGGCTCCGTGGACCACACCGACCCATGGACATTTCCGGGAATAGAATTTCAAGCGGTGTGCCCAGCCGCGTTTAACCTTGTTGTTCAAGAGTGCATCTTTGCACATCCAACTGAGAATTCATAGCCGCTTACAGTGTTCTCTACGGGCTCTGTTGCTCTGGTCAACCCCGCTTCCTCGTAACTGAAATAGAAATACTTGAATCTGTTCACTGGGTACCTTAAACGTCTTGCCAGTTTTAGTGATGTAAAAACGGATCTCCCAGGCGGTTTTGTTGTTTATGCGTATTTTAATGCACTCCGAGAGTTAATTGATGATGTGATGAAAATTATTGTTCGAACTGGAAAGGAAATTGTGCCGAAGCATTATTGTACGCACTCCACATCTGAACTTCCGCCTACTCGTACAACCTCTTACCGGAACTCAAAGATAAAATGTTTGCGCCTAACGATTTTTTACTGTCTATCGGTGAAAAGTCCCTTAGATGAAGTTTTATCTGAGTAAAACATATGAATGCTTGATAAGCCATGAAAGAGTATACCTTTGGTCTGCAAAGAAGAACACTATGGTCACTGGTAGAAACCGCGGCCATTAGTTTGAGAGCGAATAAGTTGAGATGGTTTGTGATCACTGTGTCCAGCACAGAACTACCTCTGGTAGGAAAATGAGAAAGGTCAGGCAAACGAAACGGAAGCAGGGAGAAATACTTGCATGATTGAAATCTCCAACAAATAAGTGAAAATTTTTATGTAATAATGGAACTAGAAACGGAATATAGGAATCAAAGAAAGCAGAAATGTCGATCCGAGTACATGAGGGAGATATACACACATTGGTGATGATGATTGTACTTTTGTGACGAGAAAATTTAGAGAGACAACGAACAGCCAAACAGTCGACGCATTTTTCAGAATAGTTACATATAACTTCTGACTTGCCACACCAGGAAACGTTGATGTAAGTAGCCACACCGCCTCCAGTGTTTTTCCTACTTCGCTGTTTATCCTGCCGGTAGCAATCAAACCCTTTTATTCGCACAGGAACGTCCTCAATGTTTTGGTTCAGCCAGGTTTCTTGAACACAAACAACACGTGTTGGAATTTACGCGTGCGTTCAGAATGGAGGTTAAATGCGAGATCTTTGCGAATAATGAGCGAACGTCAGTGCTGACCAATGATGGCAAAGTCAT